CCTATTTTTGGAGCAAATTAGTTTGGTTTAAGTTTCGGTTCGTGGCGTGAGTCGAAGCGGTTCGCAGCCTTGTTTTGCTCAGGATATTGGCAGAGGGACGCCTCTGCTGGCAAAACTCCTGTCTGGCAGTTACGCACGTAACGGCAAATTTACGCGTCTCTGAACTTTGACCCTCGCACAATGGCGCCGCCTGTGACCTTTGTGCGTGCGTTGACGCGTCTGCGCCACATCAAATTTTATGGATGCTGCTCGAATGTTGTTGTTTCTATTGTTGTTGTTGTTGTTGCCTTTGTTGCTGTGCTGTGTTTGTTTGTCACTTTTTATGCGAAATTAATTTAGAAAAGTTTTTCTTGGAATCAAAAAATGTGGGCAATTCACGTGTAGACGCCCACGGGGCCCGGCAAGGGGTTTCTTCTTCTTGTTTTTTTTTTTAAGCCCAGGGTTTTGTTAGTTTTTGTGGGCCTATGTTGTGCTTTGATAAGTGTATGTGTATACAGCTAATGCGGCTTAGAAAGCCGAAAAGGTCAGAGTGTAAAGAGATACTCGGCAAGTGAAAAGTTTTGATACCAAGTTACAAAAACAGAAAACAACAAAAATAAAAGTGTGGACAGTTTAGATAAAACTATTTATGGAGTGGCAGGTGTTAAGAGCTCGAGAAAAAAATTGTGGGTCAAAAGGTAGCAAAGGTATCAAAGATAAATACAAGAAATATGTCCAGAAGGTGTGCAGAAGATAAAGATTTTGTTGCATAAAGATTTAAACTTTTCACAACCTTTGTGAATCTTTTAAACTTATGATTCTCAAGGATTTTCAAGTTAGATATTCGAGACAAGATCAGAATAATTTTAAAATCTACAACAATTCAGCTCAAGTCAAACTTTATTAAACAAAAGAGTTCCAAGTTCTTGTTTTGAGACGTGTTTTCCTGATCCAAAAGATTCTTGTAAATTGCATTAACCTAAAAACCATTTGTTCCATTAATTCTGATATATCTTTTAAATTAACATTATGCTAGATGTATCTTTAAGCCAAATATATCTTAATCAAGTACTTGCATTCTAAGCTGTTCTGTGCCTTCGAGCATAGACGTTATGCGAAACTCTCCATGCAGCAGCTTTATGTGGCAGCTTGGTGAATGCCACAACGGAAATGCCCCTAGCCAAGAAGTGTCCCTACTGACAACTCAAATGACCCATTCGGTGGCCACAATTTGCCATCAGTTGCCACAGAGCAAACGGCAAGCGGCAAGCGGCAAATGGCGAAGACGAAGACGACAACAGCAAATGGCAATGGGGCATCGGCATCTGATAGATATAAAAACATCAACACGATGCCATCTACTCTATCCGTATTTGTATCTGTGAAATGTCTATCTGTATCTGTATCTGTATCTGTATCTGTGTGTGTATCTGTGTCTGTGCATCTGTATCTGTATCTTTTGTGTGTGGCTTTGCCTTTGGGTGCTGCATCTTCCGCCCAGTGCATTGAACTCCAGCTCGGATTCTACGTTGTAAATATCTTGTGCTCATGTATATCGACAATAATTACGACTGGGCTACGACTCGTAGATCGCAAGTCAAAGAAATTGCAAGATACTCTGATTGTTCTGCGGAAATGTATGGGCTGAGGGGCGTGGAAGGGGGAAGGGGGGGCTATCGCCATGACTGGACCTGGAAAGGCCGCAGACAATAATACAAATACACAGGCAAAGTGAGTAGAACGAAATGGAAAATGGAATCGAATCGAAGCGCATAAAATGAAATTGTTCCAAACGCACCCCGCACCCCGCCCCCCGTTTCGCACTCCCCTTTTGCCCACTTGCCCAACAAGCTGCGCGCCCAATACTCGTTCCTCTCCACACGTTCTGCGAGGTGAATGGACGCAAGGTGACGCGCCGTGGCGCAGTCGCTGTTTGCGTCGCTGCCGCTGCCGCAGTCGGCGTCAGTTGAATGTTGGCTTCATTTGCTGGATTTGCGCGCCAAAAACGTTCCCCTTTTCAGGAGTTGACTTTGTTTTGAGAGCGACAGCCGCAGAGAGCGAAACGTTGTGGATGTGAAACGTGGATGCCAAAGGGCCATAGGCATCGGCAACGGCATCGGCATCGGCATGGGCATGGGCATGGGCGTGGCAAACAACAACAACAAATACAAATAAAAATAAAAATAAAAATGAAAAAATACGAGACAGGAGCGCAGCCCAGACGCCAACTGCGCTGCCATTTACCATTACCACTTCGCATCGACGACTGCCCCTGGGCCTAAGCTAAGTCCAAGCCCCTCAGCCCGCTCAGCCCGCTCACCCAAAAAAAAACACATCAACAACAACAAGCGAAGCGTTTCAGAACTGCCGCTCCTTCAGTTTTGTGTTTGTCTTGCGAGTTTTGCTTTGATCCCCTTATTCTGTCTGGCTGGCTGGCTGGCATTCCCGTTCGCAATTTGCTTTTGTTTTTGTGCCCATTGCCATTGCATGCACTTCGCCCGCCACAGACAGAGCCATGTTATTGCCCTGTCGTTGTATTCGCATTCGCATTCGCATTCGCATTCGCATATTCTACCCCCTCTCCCGCTCCATACTCCATCAGCGTCGTCGTCGTCGTCGTTTGCTGGCTTTGTTTACAAGCATTTGATGGACCACTAACGTCGCATTGAAGCTCCCCTCCGCATCGCATTCTGCAGAATGCGCGCGTTTTTCTTGCTGCTTGCTGCCCTTTTTCTCTGTGCTTTTCGTTGTTTTTTTCTTGTTTTGTTGTTTTTGTTGTTGTTTGCCTTGCTTTTCGCCCCGCGTCTGCCGCTGGCGAATTATGACAGCAAAACGTGTTGCGTGGCGCAAAAACAAATGGCGAGAAAATTGTAATTCTCTTGCTCGCTGCTCGTTTTCTTCTTCCTCTTCCTCCATTTCCCTCACAAGTCTCTGACAGTTGCCAATTCCCATACTCATTGCCATTCGCTTGATTTTTATTAGTTGTACTTTATTGAATTCGTCGATTGAATGAATTGCTCAATGAGCGCTTCCCCGCACACCCCTCTCCGGCTCTAGCAGCAGCCGTCCTCCCACCAAACTCCACACAGGCAGCAATTGTTGGGATTCGCACTCAAGTGAAATGGGAACAAAATGAAAATGAATTACATACATACATACATCTTTATATGAATGTTTGTTTGTGTCGCTTATAAATGATTATATTTGCTCTTGTTAATAAATAATTATAGAGCATATCCTTTCTTTCAATTCCCCAAACTATATCAACTCAATAATTCCAATCTCGAACGATTATTGCTGTAGGACCTACATATGTATGTGACATAACTCCCGTTGGAAGCATGCCTTCTAAGTATTGAACTACATAAAATTAGTTTATACTCAATTATACATATATGTATATACATATGTATGTAGTTATTGGTACCCGCGTTGTTCCCTTCCAAACGTTACATAGTTCTTCACAAAATTAATCCTTTGCAAGGTAATAAATATCCAACAAAATTACGGTAGATATAAAATATGCATTTATACATATGTATGTATGTATGTATGTACATATGCATTGAGTAATAAACAGTAATATTCTATGGTATGTATGTGTGTATAAGTATATATAACATTTTCCAGTGCACGCATACCTGTTCAAGAAATACTCTTTTTTAACTCTCATTCTTTCTTTTCCTCTCTCTTAGTTTCTCACTCTCACTGCATGTGTATTATTTTCAATCGCGCGCCAATTTGTTGTTAGTGTGCAAGCTCAGCACCAATAATTGTTAAATATTCAAAATTAAAGAACGCGCGGAGCCCCGATATTTAATATATTTTTAATTAAACCAACTTAATGAGCAAACGATTTTGAAGAGGACACATCCGATCGAAAGGTCAGACGCGCACAGACTAAATAGCCCAAAAAAAGCACTCACCTACGCTAAGCCTGCATTCACATTAACTATGAGAGTGAAGAGCACGCAGCTATTAAAACTCCTGCGCTCTCAACTAAGATAACGGGATCAAAAGCATTGCGACTAATCGCGTGGACGCAGCGAACATTTGGATTAGCTCGCTCATTTTAACTCTCCCCACTACTCGCTCTCAGCTGCACTTGCAGCCTGCCATTGAGTTATTGGGTAATAAGACTTATTACTCTCCACTTATTGCTCGATGGCAGCCTGCAATGCGTAAATATAACGGCATCAATAGCAACAATGCCGAAAAAGTGTGTGAGGGGAATGAAGAAAGTTTAGCTAAATGTAATATCAGTCACAGTGTCCACTCTGCGGGCAAATAATCTCAGCAGGTGACGAAGTCTGTGCAATTGCGCTTGATTATTATGTTTTAACTTATTTTTAATCAAATATTTAATCGATTATTCTCCGACAATTTTTATGATATTGTGGTCCAAGTAAGTTTAACAATCTAGAAAATTAATCAAATTTTGAATGAAAGAAAGAAATTTCCGACAGACTGTTCATATGGCAGCTATGTATGTATATGAAAAGTGAATGAATGGTACGAAATTGTCATTGTGGATATATGTAAAAGGCGTACAACGGCTGAGTTAAATGACGATATCTATACAGCTGAGCGGCTTTTATGCATGAAATCGGACAGAAGGGCTTGACCAGAACGACTCATCTATTGGTACTGATCCAGAATATATATATGTACTCGGTATGGAGTCGGAGATGTCTTCTAACTGAAACTATGTAGCTTAAACTCTGCGGATAGTTTTTTTTCGCTTAAGTTCTTAGTTATAAATATTTTCAAAAAAATGTTCTATTAGAAAAAGTACTAGAATTTCATTTTGAATAATTAAAGATTTTCCTTCGCATTCTTAGTTTTAAATGTTTTCCAATTTATTTTCCATTAGAAAAAGGGCTGGAAGTTCATTTTGAATAATTTAAGATTTTCCCTTTTCGCATTTGGCAAGCCACAAATTTTTCAATATAGTTTAATACGAACTCTCTAAAATCGTTGGCTATTATATCTATATTATATGGTTAACACATTCAACGATATTAAAAAGAAATATTTGTGTATTTCGAATAAGACTCCAACGAATTGAAAATACATGCTACAAGAATTTCGGTATTTCAAACATTTCGCAATGGGACGACATTTTCTCCGATACTTTTTAAAAGCCCGACTTCAGAATCTGAAGCTAAGATAACTCCAACTCAAAAACACCTATGAGCAACGCCTGGTGGAGCAACAACCCTCATCCGAATTCGATTCCGAATCATCCAGAGCATCGCAGATCTCTTGCGCGGTTCTCGGCCGACTTGTCGATGCTGGGCACTTGGATGCCTTCCGGCAGCCGGAGGAACTGTTGAGTAAATTATCCTCAAATCCGGAGGTCGCTAGTTCGATGCTGCCGTAAAGCCGCTTCGAGCCGTTGTTCTGCAATTGTACGGCCCGATTCATCATGGTGTTCAGCTTGATGTTCTCCTGGTTCAGGCAGATGCGGAGACGCTTGTATTCCGCCTTGTCGTTGCGGGTTTGACAGGGTTTATCTCTCAGCTCGTAGGAGCGTTCCTTCAGATCGTTTATAACTCCGTTCTGGCTGTCGATCTGTTTCATCAAGTCGATATATTCCCGATACATGCGCTCCTCCACCTCGTTGTCTTCGCTCTCCTCGTCGAGCAGCTCGAAGGGATCTTCTTCGGTCTCGTCCACATTATCCTCATCAACCGCCTCCTCTTCTAGGGCCGCTTCATCGGCTCCTTTTTCGGCGTCCTCTGCTGCTGCCTCATCCGCCTCTTCTTCCTCTTCCGCAGGAGCTCTTTCCTCTTCATCTGCCATTCAGTTTGTTGAAATTTTGATTTGTCACAAAACTAGTCAAATTTGTAAATAAATTTCCAAAATGTTTGAGAGATAAACAAGTGAGTGGGATGATGTCTTGGCACTAGCTCCAGACGTCGCTTTGCCTTAAATAATGATGCGGGGTTCCAGAAGAAAGAATCTTGAGCTCGATTGGCATTCCATTCGTTATCTAAACCAAGTTTGACAAAACTAACAAGGGGCTTACATAACACATATACACAAAATTGGATTGGTTCTAGAATCAAAACTGTAGATATCGATACTTAATACTGGAATATCTGGGGAAAAACAGATCAGATTTTTAAATTTCGTATCTTTTCGGATTCGTAAAGACCACGACTGTCCGCTTCTAAATTTTTACTGAATTTGACAAGGAACAATTTTAAGCAAATTGGTCCCAATAGACTATCAAAAGGAAATGAATCTCTAATTTCGGGCCCTATTGAAGCGATTAATAGTCACTCAAAGTTCATAGAGACCTAATGTTTATTTACTTCTAATTTTTGACACGCCTAAGATAAAATCCACACGTATTGCCTTTCCACTTCCACGCAGCGCAATGGATTTCCCCAAAATCGGTGAATCACCTTAAGTTGGATTTTATGTAAGAACCGATTATTGTGACTTATAAAAATGGAATATGTTTCGGTTTCGATTGAAAGCTTCAATTGAAAGTAAATTGTATTAAAGTTTTTATGTATGCTTCTTCTGCAAATATCCAGAAAGCACTCTGAATGCATTTGGCTGATGTCATCGTGAGTTTCATTGCGGGCAACGGCGACTGCTTACATTGTGTCCACATTTTCGCTCGCATTTGATGCGGCTCACGCCCCAACGCCCCCGAGTCCTGTGATGACGCCCCATAAATACATGTGCCGCCATAATGTCTGAGCCCATAAAAATCCGACTCTGTCGTCGTCAAAGCTAAAGCCAAAGCTAAAGCTCCTGGAATCGTTGCTCACAGGTATCCTTTATTATGGGGAATACTCGTAAAGTGCTTAAGTGCCATAAGGGAGCTCCAGCTCCTGCTCCTGCTGCTGCTCCTGCTCCTGCTCCTGCTCCTACTGCTGCTCCTGCTGGCTGTTGCTTCGGGCGAATGCACTTAATGCCAAATTAAATGCACTGCCAGGGCAAGGGAGGGAGAGGGGGTAGGGGCTTGTCGTGTGGCAGCCATGAAAACCGCTTTATGATTAATGCGCAGCAGAGTCGAGAGTTATGCGCCTTGGAGCGTAATCCGCTGGCATCAGCAGCAGAAATCACAGTGCCAATAAAAGCGTTAGGCAACACTGGGCCAAGGGCTCGCCTAGATGAGGGAATGGGAATGGGGATGGGAACAGTGGGAACAGTGGGTTGGGCCTGCCTCATTTTGGAGCGCAACAGCTGCAATAAAACATAAATTTCTGACTCTGTCGAAAGGAAACGGAAATGCGTGCATTAACAACTAGCTGCAAAGAGGACAGCCTAGCAGGGGGAGAGGGGTGGGGGGGAGGTGGTGAAGGGGGGTCGGTTGCCAACTGTCGAGAGTGTCGACTATCGGCGAGGGTTGGGCGGTTCGGGTAATGTTGAAAACCACTTAACTACCACTTGCCTGCCACGCTTATGGCCCAGTTAGCTGTGTGTGTGTGTGTGTGTGTGTGTGAGATAGTTTTCCCGCATTCCAAGCGAGCTAATTTTTGGCATATTTCCCGCAGCCATTTGCAGTGTGTCCCTGAGTGCGACAGTTGGATTAGCTTAGCTGCTGCTGCTGCTGCTCCTTCCCCCAAAAAATTGCACGACCCTCTCGCCGAGATTTAGCCCTGACACAAATCTGACCCCAGTTCTTGGCAACATCCAATGACAGCCAAGGACAACCGACAAGAGAGCGGGCGGCATTCGCGGCAGCATCATTTGCCTGAGGGAACTGACTAAATGGAGCTGTCCCCCTGCTCCGCCCCCCCACTCCGCCCACCTGCCAGGCCCTGCCTCAATTCGTTTTCGATTTGGCGCAGATTACGTATACGACATGTTAAACGCCTTAAAGACTTTAACATGCAAAATCAAATATAATTTGAGCAAACTTTCATTTGCAAGCTGTGCAAATACACACACACACAGAGATTTGCTCACACACACACGTACACACACACTCACACACACATGCACACACATATGCTTTGTTCACACATGCCCATAAGTTTCTCAGGATCTTTGCGCTTCTCTCTTTGGCCTGCAAGTTGCATGCAACTTTTTGTATACACTTCGTAGAGGGTATAACAATATTGTCACGGAATTTGTAACGTCTAGAGGCAGATGTCTGCGACCCTTTAAAGTATATATGTAGATAGATAGATAGATAGATAGATGGATAGATAGACATATAGATCTTGATCAGTATCAACAGTCGAAATAGGTATGTTTCTTTGTCCCTCTATCTGTTTCTAGGGAAAGTCTAAAAGCTATAGATTTTGTGCTCTGCTCTGTCTGCCTTTTGCAAGAAGCAAACCAGCCGAATCGGACCACTATAACATATAGCGGCCATAGGAATAATCGTTTGAAAATTAAGTTTTTATATGTTAAACGTATATATTTTTCAAGATATCTTGACCAAACATCGCTTTGGCAAAGTTTAACTCTAATCCTAACACATGAACCACATCAAATATACGATATCATATATTTTATCATATATCAGATCATACCATATCATATATCAGATCATATAATATCATATCATATTATATGGTATCAAATTATTTCATATCAGATCATATATCATATATACCATATCACGTATACTATACCATATAGCAGGTAGACTCATTCGACAAATGAATTCTTTTTGTGGAAAACCATTCTGTTTTTCAAGCTTTACTGACCAAACTCAACAATATTGAGCTATAGCGTGCTGTCAATCTATCTGCAAAAGAATTTCCAGTCGAACTACTTTTATAATATATCTAGAAGGTAAGGAAAATATGTCTAGAAGGGTATTTTATTTTCGGCTTGCAAATGTCAGTCATTCTTTCATGTGCTTTCAAGTTTGTGTTCGCCCTGCTCCCTTTTGAGCCCATTTTTTTTTGCTGTTTGTTGTTGTTGTTGTTGTTGCTGTTGTTGTTGTCAGCCTCGTTGCAACTGGCGCATTTGTTTTGTTTGCTATTGTTGCTCTGGAGGAGCGCTTTGTTTATGCTGCTGCTGCTAAAAAAGCATAAAATGATTTCATTAAAAAAGTTGTAAACTTTTTCATTTAATTTAACTGCAAACATCTTTTGGGCCGCCGCCGCCGCCGCCTGTATCTGTGTGCGCCTTCTCTCTCTCTGTGCAATTCGTTTTGCCAGTTTTTCAGGCTATCTGGGCATTTGTATGCCAAGCAGTTAGGGCGTGCCACGCCCCCGTTGAATACTTTATTCGATAGTGGCTCATATTATACGCGAATTGAATTGCGAATGGAAAACTGAGCTGAAACTGAGTTTCAATTAAACTTTTGCCCCTTTTCAATTTATTGCAAATGTTGTTGGGCCCCTCCAAGCCCCTCGAAGCCCCTCCCCCCTCCCCCTACCCCTACCCCATCCGCCCAGCCCATTTACCTTAAGTTGGCCGCCTTTTTGTCGCACGAAAGTCCTTCAAAAACTGTTTGTTGGCATAATAGTTGTAAACTTTTGTTGTTATTTATTGATGATGGATTGAACGACAGTCAACGCCCAGCGACTCCTACTTAATATGCCACGGAAACTTTTTCTTTCAATTTAATTAAATATGCAAATTTATGCCCGAAAGCGAGCGCCACAAATTGCAGGCATTTATTCTCTATTTAGCTGCACAAATAATACTAAACGACTGACTAAAATACCAAAGGATTAAAATAATGTTTAAATGGATTTAAAAAAAAAATTATAGAGTTTAGTTTATGTATTAGCATAACTTGGGCAAAATCAATTAAAATGGCGTTCATATAAATCGAACACATTTTATGGTGATGAACAATGGTTCAGAAGGTATATAAATTAATAAGGAATTTAATAACAAACATATTTATTGATTTGGTAAAATTTTGAGTTATTTGCAAGATTTTTTCTTCAGCATTTTTACGATATTCGGATTTAAAAAAATTTAGAAAATTAAAAAAAGGTATGCGATGCTTATAAAAAAACATTTAAAAGCCCTCGAACAAGAAGTGGTTAAATAACATCTATGAAAACACGATTTAGTGATAGACTTTCAAGCTGAATCCTGCCAAGAATTGGTATGTTATATACTTGAAGATGTAAGCCTTATCTGTAACTATAACGAACTATATTAAGTCAGGTATAAGGTATATAGCTCTATAGTAAACATTTTGAAAATTTAGCTATTGTATATAAGAAAGGTTTTTTGACATTCTTAATATATCCAAACTGAAAACTCAACAGTTATGAGCTTTAATATATCTGATAGATCGCCTCAAATCGATATGCTATATACAAAGAAAGTACGTCAAGTATATCAATAACTATAACTAACTATATCAGGGGTGGTATAAGGTATATGATCTGTAGAAAAACTATTTTAAGAAATTCAGTTCATGTATAAGAACGGTTTTTTGATCTTCTTGATATATCCTCCAATAAATAAGTCAGAGGTTTGATATAAAAAAGGTCGCTTGGCTTTATTATATAGCTACTATAGGTAGAATATTTCGGAAATAAAGCCTTCTTATTTATATATCTGCTCTCTTCTATAGCATATTATTTACATTATTATATGATATTATATATATATGTATATGTTATTATGAGCTATTCCCTAATGAAGTAATTATTTCTTGTTTATTTTCAGGCAATCATCAGCCAGCTGAGCGTTTGTTTAATTAAGTCATTAAATTGCTTGAAAAGAGGCGAGGCAAGGGGTCGGGGGCTTGGCTGTGGGGTGTTGCAAACATCGGTCCGCGTGTTATCTCCCATATTATCACCAACTAAAACATTATCCGACTAATCAAGAACAACTCTCGCACTGCAATTACGCTGACTTGCAGCGCGGGCATAATTCAATTATGGCCACAATGCATGAAGCCAACTCCGACTTTGCAGCTGCCACGCCCCACGCCCCACGTCAAACGCCCTACCAAGCG